CGGAATGAGATCGTATTTGAATGTCTGCATACGCTAGAATTTTGTATTTCTTATTAGAAAAGAGTTAATTTCAGAAACTAGAATCTATTCTGAATCCGACAATGTAAACGGCTCGTCCGAGGTGCGTTGCTGGGACAGCCCATGAATTTTCAAACAAAGACATTGTAAATTGGCCATTTCTAGTGTGTGCTGGAAAATGTTTGTTGACAAGAGAAATTATGGAAGAATTTTTTTGTTAATAACATATATGGTGGCACTTGCGACTTGGATTCAGAGAATGGCATTATTATTTGTAAAAAAAACTCTTGCTGATTTATGCGATTTTTTTCGTAAGTATTGTCGCCTATGGGAAAGCATTTCCCAGTGTGAGCCTTACAGGAGGTGATTGTTCTCTTGTTTTGGGTATGTTGAGAAACTTTAATAATTTTCTGTTTTATCTCCACGATGGCGCCACATTCGAGGCTGAAGCTCTGGCTGAAGTGCATGCGAAAAACGGTTGCTCGCCTGTGTACGAGTTTTTGCTTGGATACAACCATCGAATAATAGTAGACTATATGTCTCTCTGTATTTTGATGGTCACAGCACGCGGCCGGGGGATGCAGTAATGGTCTGGTCAGCGTACACAGCTGCCCTCTCTCCTATTCTACTGCTACTTATACTTCTATACTGGGTCCCTCGATAGTGCTATAAGTACAAAACACTACTGCAGGGTCCTAGCACAGCCTGCGGGGTGGGGGGCAAGGGGGACAGCTGCACCCTAGACTTTGGAGCAAAAAAAGAGTTCTACTAAAAGGGTGCGGTGCGTGCGTGCGTGCGTGCGGTGCGGTGCGGTGCGGTGCGTGCGTGCGTGCGTGCATGTGTTTCCATCCTTCTCTTATCCTCTCGTCTCTACCTCTAACTGGACACCGAGGAAAATATTAAGAAACGCTATTTAAATATATATATTTCGCTACCTTCTTAAACTCAACGAAAAACCGACAGGAAACAGTTTATACATTTCCTTCACAGATGCGTGATTTTATTAACTTTAATTTTTATCCCATGAATACTATGATAAACATAAAATACTTGACATAATAGTTACTTTGTCTTAATTAAAGAAACGAGCAAAACTAACTACACGCTCGTAACATGGTTTCCACACTTCGCACAGACGAGAAGCATTTACACGCGGTAGCGTTTATTCGATTCTTCATAAGCCCACGACCTCGTTGTAAAAACCAATCTAAAAGGTCGTCTACATAAAATAAGACATGACTAAAAATGTTTAAGTCGCAAATAATTTATGTTATTCGCTACAAAGACCCGTGCGTGCGTAGTACCAGATGACAACTAAGACTTATTCTTCCTAGTCAATGCAGTGGGATTAACGCAATGTTCCACAGGACGTAATGTAAGAGGTGATGGCGATCCACTAGGTGGCGTGCTTAGTTGTAGACTGTCAGCAATAGCCGGAGAAGAAAAACCCCACAAAAAGTTCACAAACGTCACAAAGTCGATTTAGACAACATCGTTCATATAATATTATGTCTATAGGTGGCGCTTGCTACATTGTATGCTGTATATATCGTTTGCCCCCGTATGTAATTTGTTTTACAAAAACAATGAGGTCACTTTAAGCACCGGTGATCCGTGCACCGAGCATACCTGTAATGTTTACCCTTGTTCACCTTGACAATTTTACACGAAACATCAATAAATTAACGATGCCTATAACAGTACTCGTATCATTAGACCAAAGGCTGCCAAACCCTGCCATATACATGAGATTTAAGAGAAAACAAATCGACAAGAACACCTATTATATACCTATATCAGAAGTAAATAATAGGGAATCCATATTATCTACTTCTGACCTATATATATATATATAAATATATATGTATATATATATATATATATATATATATATATATATATATATATATATATATATGT